TTTAATAATATATTTTTTTATAAATATAATAATTAATATTTTATTAGAATTCGATAATTATTCTAATTATATTTTAGATTTTTTATATTTTAAAATATGATTTTTATTCTTTATTTGATTATGTTTATCATCAGTTAGTTACACGAATTCAAACATGAAACTTTAATAAGTTATACTTATGCCCAATTTACTTTTAATCTTGAATTTTAAGTAATATGCATCAATAAACAATACTTTATGCATAAAAAATGGTTTTTAAGAATTTTTGTCAAATATTTATAGTATAGATATTAAAAGTTTTTGGTTTTCATAAAATCTTAAAACTTTATAGAGATGCACAAAAAGCCCGGCTCGAAGCTCTGTCTGGGTCAGGTCTCAAAGTCCGATCAAGCCGAATTTTTTTTAGGGCAAGCACGGCCCAAAATAGACTAAAAAGCCTAGCCCGATCAGCCCATTTTTCAACCCAAAGCCCAGCCCGATCCTAGAAAAGTTTGGGCCTTCTTTCCGCTCATTGAAAACGAGCTTGGAAATCTCACGATAGAGCTTGAACAATTTATACCGATTTTGAATCAAATTGCTTATAAAATCGAAAAATCAGACAGAATATGCATAACATATTTGTACTTTATGCATTAAAAGCGATACATTAAATGAAATTATTCAATAAAAATGTGATGGAATACATTTTATTTGTTCACCATAAAAACTATTATTCATGGACGGCATAGACGGACCTAGTGGAGTGGTTAGGTGGTACGTGCCACCGTATTGTTCCTCCGTGGTAAGGTAAAAAAAATAGGCTCGTGAAAGGTGCAACCGTTTTATTCTAGAAGGTGCAACCGTTTTATATGGTGCCACCGTATCCAAAAATTCTTGGATCCGCCCCTGATGGACGGTGGGATTTAAAGCCATGGGGAATCATATATTGGAGTGGCAACTGTTTTAACTTGAAGGTAATGCTCAAGAGCCTCTAATCCTTGTTCTCTTCCAAATCCACTCATTTTATATCCTCCATGGGGGGCGTCCCTATCAAGTGCAATGAAACAGTTCACCCACACCGCCCCCGCTCGAATCGATCTTGACACTGTGTTTGCGATGTCGATGTTCTTCGTCATCACGCCTGATGCAAGTCCGTATTTTGTCGCATTTGCTCTCTTGATCACTTCGTCCATAGTCCTGTATATCATCGTTGTTGTTAGTAAATTACAATGAAACCGGTTTTACAGAGCGTCAAATATGTCTAAGGGCGTCAAATAGTCCTGTTTGGTTTTATACAACACTTGAAGGGTACTCGCACAATGCAGCGAGATACATCTTGATTTGAATGTTTCATTTTATTCTTTATTTCAGTCGATGTTATAGTATGGTGTTATATGATTTTAGAAAAAATGATTATGTTTTTATTTTTGAATAAAATATAAATTTGAACATATCATAAATTTTTGACAAAAATATAACGATATTGGTATCAAATTAACTATTTAAAATTCCTAATTTTTGTGTAATTTTTTAATTCGATTTTTTTATTATAATTTAACTTAGATTTAATAACAAAGTAATTTATTTTTGGTGTAACAATATAACTTTTTATAAAGATAATAATTAAACATTCTGTTAGAACTTAATGATTATTTTAATTATATTTTAGATTTTCTATATTTAAAATGGATGTTTATCTTGTATTTGATTATGTTTATCCGCAGTTAGTTACACGAATTCAAATACGGAGCTTTAATAAGTTGTACCCATGCATATTATTTGTAATCTTGAATTTTAAGTAATATGCATCAAGATACAGTATTTCATGCATAAAAACTGATTTTTACAAGTTTTTGTTAAATGTTTTATAATATAGTATAGATAATGGGTCAATTACCCCATAAGCCCAAAATTTTATTTCAGATTAAACTTGAGGGAATGAAAATTCATTCCTATTTTCTTTACCTGTCACTTTTTCATTAAAAAAAAATGCATTTTTGTTCAACTAAATCCAGTCCCGGCCCAGTCTAATCGTCGCACCGAACTTTTGAAGCTCGGGTACGGTCGAGTTTGTTTAGGATAGCCAAACTTTTGACGAGATGGGATCGTCAAATCTACACCCTACTCGTAAACAAGGAAATGAACGAAAATCCAATAGACTTACTTGAACTTGAAGACTGAGATAACCGGGCCAAAGATTTCTTCCTTCGCAAGGCTCATATCATCCTATAAAATCAAATAGATGGTCCATATAAGTCAACACCATCAGATATACTGAGCTTGTTTGGTTTGGTTTGGTTTGATCTGGTTTAGCCATACCGTAACGTTTGTGAATAAAGTTGGCTCGATGTAGTATCCTTTCTTTCCAAAAGGCTTACCACCCGTTACCAATGTCGCACCTTCCTTCTTGCCGTTCTCAATGCACGAAAGGACTTTCTTGTATTGTTGCTTATTGTTCTGTTCAACGGAAAAATTAACTTTGAACCAAATATACACGGGATTAAATAATTTTTAAGTTCGAAAAACCGAAACTTTGGTATATACCTGAGGTCCGTGACGAGTGGCTAGATCAAACGGGTCCCCGGTCGCCCACCCTTTCACCATCACTTCCAATTTCTTGACGAAAATATCATGGACTCCTTCCTGAACGAAAACACGAGACCCCGCCACACACATTTCACCCTGAATTTATTGAAATAGCGTTTCAATAAGGTCGAGATATTTTTTCCACTTCTTTTTCCAATTATGCCATTATATTTTTCCAATTAAATTTTGTATGATGTCTTTTTTGGTCATTTTATATTATTATCTAGTTTTTACTAAATATGACTAGTTTATCGAATACAACTGGAATAAAAAAAAGTTGTAGAGTCGAAACGTGCTTTGTTAGTTAAATTTCCCAAAATAGCAAGTTCCGCGGCTTTATCAATGTCCGCATCGTCGAAGACGATGAAAGGCGATTTTCCTCCCAACTCGAGTGACACGGGTTTCAGATTGCTTGAAGCTGCGGCATGCATTACTGCACGACCAACTTCCGTGGATCCCGTAAACGTAACCTGAGTTGAACACACAACGTTAGACCTAAAGTATAGAGTTATATTGAATAACATACATATCGATGCAATAAAGCATTCTTCGGCTCGGAAAAGAAAAACTCACCGCATCGATGTCCATATGGGAGCTCACGGCAGCACCGGCGGTGTTTCCGAACCCATTAACGACGTTAATCACCCCATCGGGAACACCGGCCTGTAAATCAATAAATAAGCCCCGTGATAATAATAAAAAAAGACAAAAAAAAGGTCAAACTTTGTTGCATTTAGATGCATTTTGATTTGTGGTTTTAACGAGATATGCTTCGATAGGATCTTAACGTACCATCTTTGACAAGTGCGCGAAAAAGAGAACCGTAAGAGGTGTTTGTTCAGCGGGCTTGACCACCATGGTGCACCCGGCGGCTAACGCGGGTGCAACCTTGGTGGCAAACATGTAGGCCGGGCCATTCCAAGGAATGATATGGCCGACTACCCCGACGGGTTCACGTAATGTGTACGCTTGAATATTACTCGACATCTTGAGAGTAGCTCCACGAATTTTATCGGCTGCACCGGCAAAGTACCGAAATGTCTCCGATGAAATCGGGACTTCAAAGTATCTCACGGGTGCAAACAGTTTTCCACCGTCGATCACTTCTAAGGTTGCTAATTCATCGGCATTTTCATCGATCAGATCTGCGAATTTCAACAATATCTTTCGCCGTGCCTGATTATAATACGTACGATAGAATATATTAGCAGACAATCGAAGAAATCGCTGAAAGAGTATTCGTATTGTGTATAATGCAGATATTATCTGCAATTTTACGAACATATGAAAATTTGAACCGAATTGATCGTTTTTTTCGTCACGAAAATACGTGAAACGTGAAACCCATTAAATTACTCTTCAAAAGAGCTCTTAAGGACAGAATGGAGGTTCTTAAGAGAAATACTCCAAGTCTACCCGACATGGGACTGTAAGACGCTCCCTTTAATGGAGACTAGACAAACACAGATCAAC